GTGTTCACTTGAGGCTTTTTTACAAGCCAAGCTTGCTTAACAGTTTTACCTTGTTTCTTTGTTCTTCTCCTCTGTCTCCTTGGTCTGTCCCCTTCCTTAGTCTCCTGCTCTTTATCACACTTTGTGTTATGCCAACAATCAATAGAATCATGCCCAAATTTCAAACACTCATTACAGAATACAGGCTTCCAGTCACATTCAATCAGTTGTATCATAGGGCCATAAGGAGATTCTATCTCTATCTGATCTGGCAGAGAATAAGCAGCATCAACCTCCACAAGCACTCTAGCATATGATATTTTCTCATAGTGAGCAGTATAATTGTCCGTGTACAAGGGCTTCCCCACTACACTAGCCATTTTTCTTAGGGCTTCAGTTGACCAATACCCCACAGGTAGCCCAGGAAATCTCACCCAAACTGGAATTGTGCTTAAAATGTCCTTATTGAATGAGAAATCAATTTCCCATAGCTTTAGCACCATAAGTTTGTTCCTGTACGTATATGGACCTGATTGAAGGACCTGATCCCTATCAGCTATGGTGTGAAATTTGAAAATACAGTAGCCCTCAGAATGAATCAGGATCTGAGGCTTAGTAACAAAATTCCACATATTCAACACAAAGTTTTCCATAGCTTTTTCATAAGGATTTTCTCCAATTATGTAGCCAATTAGAGAAGTTTTCCAGTATTCTGCTTATGATTGCAAGTCATCCTCATTTAATTTGACAATTTTCTTACCATCTCTATCAATTGGCGGAACAAATGATAATGATTTACCCATTTGTGAGCTGCGATTTCCTCGAACAATATCAGCTGCCGTAGGAGTTGGCTTCTCAGATCCGCTTGCTTCTGAAAACTGTAATCGTCTCACTGCTGGATTCATTGTTTCCTCCGCTGTAACCAGTTGAAGTTGTACATCATCCTCAGAACTACTAGCTTCATGAATTTCCTTAATCGATTGGAATTTATGTGGAAGAAAGCTTCCAAATGTGAGTGGTGGTAATTCCTTTTGAACACCGTTAGATGGAGTAATAAGTTTCTCCGTCTGGGTATTAGTAGCATGCACAGTTTTCCGGTGACGAGCCATTGACTCCAGTCACGATTGCAAACCTTGCTATCATGCGCCGAGAGTAACGGTTATCGTGCGCCTTTTCCTTAAACCTCACCTTTAGGATAGTATCACTCAGAACAAGGTTACAAATGTCCTTTTAACTTAAGCAAGTTCAGAAGAGAGAAGAAGTGATATAAACTTAAGAAACAGTAAGGAAGCATGTTTAGAACTCAAACAGAAGTTCAGTAAAGGCAAACAAACTTAAGAACTCAGTAGGAAACACATACAGTAGAAGAATACTGAAAAGTATAGCAAAGAACAGATAGAAAGACATAACAAAGATTGACATGTGAGCCTAGTCTAAAGGCATAGTAGAATACAAAGTACAGGAGAGTCATGCATAGTAGAAAGAAACGCAGAAGAACAACACATGCGTGGTAAAACATAGTATAGGCAAAGACACATAAAGAAAAGAAAAGGAAGAATCAGAAAGACGTTTTGAAATCCTTTCAGAAACCCTAAATCGAAGAGAAACAAATTTGAAAGAAAAGATTGGGGAAAACACCTTAAAAATCCAATAAAACACGGATATAGCATAGATCTAAGAAAACAGACAGAGAAAAACCTCGAATAGCTTAGGGTTTCGGAGAAACCCTAGAAATGAGAAAGGCTTGGAAGAAAGCCCGATCTTGAGTCGGAGAGGTCAGAAATAGGCTCCAGATGCTTGGATACGCCGGAGAGGCCTCAAAGCCATCGATCTGAGAAGATCTGAAAGAGNCGATTCCAAAGGGATTTTTTATGACTTCTACTTGGATATGTGTTCTATATCTGAAAGTGATTATATTTCATAAATCTATGACAATATTCATCGTTTATTTCGGATTTGGATGGAAGAAATTGAGATTTTTATAAAATCTTCCAATAATGAAAAATGAAGATTCGAAAGTCAATCTGATGTCGGATTTCGAGAATTTTATATGGTTGAACTCGTATCGGAAAGGGTGTTTGGATTTCGTAAGTTTTTTTGGGATTCGAGATGTGGGTCACACTGTCAATTTTTAAAATGAACTTCGATTTTAATCAAATTAGTAAATTCATATGGAATTAATTCCTACAATTTGTGTTGAGTATTTCGAATTGATTGTGAGGTGACGAGTGCCTATACGTCGTCAAATTAATTGTTTGCATATTATCTGAAGATCATAAATTATTTTAAATCATGAATTTAATTGTTCCTCTCATATTCATTGCTCAATATTATGCCTTGAATCCATGCAATAATTGCTACATGTTTAATTGGTTTATGTGACTAAATTGTAACTTGACATTTACCATATTAAATATTAAATTGCATATTTCTTCTCCAATTCCATAATTAATTGCTACTTGTCATTACTTGTTTCCGAAATAAATCATAATTATTGTATGCTTGTGGTCTAGTGATTTCATTTTTAATTGTTGCATGGATTGGAGTAATTTCTTTTATGAGAATTGATAAAGTATATTATTGGAGGAGCGGGTTGAATGCTGCAACAGAAATGAAAGTAAATATATATATTGGAGGAGCGGGTTGCATGCGGCAACAGGATTGATTGAAATGAATATATTGGAGGAGCGGGTTGCACGCCGCAACGGAATTAAATGAAAATGAATATATTGTGGGATCGGGTTGCACGCCGCAACGAAAATGAATATGATTATATTGTGGGATCGGGTTGCACGCCGCAACGAAAAGTGATTTAAATGATAATTGGTTATGGCTGCTGAGTTGGCTTGATTGCTGATATGATTTATCGGTTTAATTTTTATTCATGTTCTCCTATATGTTCTTATTATTATTATTATTGTGTACAGGTTAATGTAAGTGACCTGCCTTAGCCTAGTCACTACTTCGTCGAGGTTAAGCTCGGCACTTACTTGGTACATGGGGTCGGTTGTACTCATACGATACTCTGCACTTCATGTGCAGATACCGGAGGCATATAGTAGATTTGCTCGGATTCAGCTATTCGCAGGAGACTTGAGGTATAGCTGCTTGGCGTCCGCAGTTCTGAAGTCCCCTTCCACTTTATCTGGGCTGTGTATTTTCTTTCAGACAGCTTTATTTTCATTCAGACCTTTATCTGAATTATTCTAGTAGCTCGTTCTTGGATGATTTTTAGACACCGTTATTATTATGGATTAATCACTTTATTTCAAAATTCACTTCCGCATGTATCCTTGTATTAACTAAATTAAAGTTGTTTAAAATGGCTAATATTATTCTAACGTTGGCTTGCGTAGTAAATGAAATGTTAGGTGCCATCACGGTCCCGAAGGTGGAAATTTCGGGTCGTGACAACACGTGCATACGACCACATCTTTTGAACGTTTTCAAATGCATACATGACTAATAATGTTTTATCTACTTAAGAATGTGAAAATTAGCTTGTGTGAGAGTGTTAGAACATAATTATGAACTACATGATTCTTGATTGGTTCGAATAATTCTTATGTTGTTTCTATGAATTATGACCACCACGTGAAAATATATTTTATATAGGCCGCCAAATGAATAATGGCTTTACTGGCAACCTATTCGAATTTTAGTGTCTACATAGTCAATACTGGGTGGCGACTAAACTTGTTACTAAATGGAAACAATTACGCGGCAAAAAATACAAATAAATTTTAGGTAGATCTCCAATGAGCAATTTCTTTAACCGCTATGTATTCGACTTTTGAGGAGACTATAGTTGCTGCAAAATGTCAGAAATTATATGACTAAGCTCGGCATAAAGTTAATGCTATTGTGGCCAAGAGAATTGCTTCTGAAAGGAAAAACTCAGTTGTAGCGACTGTAGTCAAAATTATCGCCACTAAAAGGCGGCATAGTAGGTATCCACTATAAGGGGCGGCCAATCATGCCAACTTTTGAAAGCGGCAGTGTTTACATTTAGGGTGTGTTTGGTACGAAGAAAAATATTTTTCGAAAAAATATATTTTAATTTTTCCATATTTGGTTGGCTTAAATTTTTTGAAAAATATTTTCCTCAGTAACTCATTTTCCTCCATTTTTTCTCTCTCAAGAACTTGCTTCTACTAATTCATATATTAAGCAATTCTAAATATATAATCTGAACCTCAAATCTAGAAGTTTTTTCCAAATTTTCAACACAACACGAAGTTCTTTCTTCTGTTATTAATATTCAATAATCAGCCTATGAATTATCTTTCTAATCATAATTCGCGAGAAGCTTCTTCTTTTTAGTAGAATTTAATTAGCTGTGAGTCCCGCATAAGATTTATTGATTTTCTTGGTAGGATTTAGGTGGGATTGTTCCCCATTTTACCCCACATGTATGCAAATATTGCCCATTTATGTCAAATATTTCAGTACGCTAACGCTTAATTATTTGAAGTATTAGAAAATTATGAAATCTATATCTAAGCAATCATGATAATTAAAAATTAGGTAATTTAATCTTCATAATCCAAAACCGTTAATTTAATCTACTTGATATGCTATCACGTCAGCGTATAGGATCTCGATGAAAAAAAAAAAAAAAAAAACAGCCCAATGCACAAAGCATCATGCGTTCACACAGGGTCCGGGGAAGGACTGCACCCAAGGGGGTATAATGTAGGCAGTCTACCTTGATGCAAGCATCATTCCACAGCTTGAACAAGTGAAATATAGGTCACACAGAGACAACTTTACCGTTGCTCCAAGGTTCTCCTTCTCAGTATATAGCATTATAGTGTATTAATTACACACCTAATTATCCATACTCAAGATCAACCGTAGTCAAACTATTAACCAATAAATATTGCACAAGTGTACATTTACATAAAATAATAATATGAGAGGACTCTTAATAAATCTATAAGTAAATAAACTATTGTTACGTGGAATCATTCTATTTTTTAATTAAACAAAATTAGCTCCTTCATTGGGTATAAATGCTACCTTTTTTGCTCTCTTAGCACACAAAGCAATTTTCTAAAAATCTCAATTTATACCTGCATAGAAGAATGGCTTCATTCCAAAAGCAATTAGCTGTGTTCATGCTCCTCTTCTGGGTCGCTACAGTTGGTGAGTAATTATTAGTAATAACTCCCTTCACTAGCTCTTTCATAAAATTGAAAACAATAACCATACGTTAAATATGAGTGCAAGTGCATGCACGTTTACATTACACACTACTACGATCACGCGTTTTTCTGATGAACGTTCTCGTCAAAATCTATCGAAAATTTGAGATTTTCGTCAGAATGCCGTCGAAAACAGTTTTCGATGAGCAGAGATGCGACCAAGATTTGAACTTAATGGTTTTAAGTTATAATATAGTGACACTAGATGTTAGTAACTGGATTCTAAATTCAATTGTTATACATATTTAGCGAATTTCTTAAAACAAAGAGTTTGGACTAATTCTACTAGAATATTCCGTTGAACCCATAGCTAACCCTCTAGCTCCGACCCTGCAAATGAGCACATTCCCAATGGAAGTCCCTTAGAAAAACACGTGATCTAGTAGTGACATATGATAGTGTTATTTAATTTTTTTTAATGATGTTATTTATACAGGCAAATTTTCAGGGTCACCAAAGATGCTGGTTATGGCTGTACGTGATTTACCTTTGGAGGTAGCTGCCATGGAACAAGCTTTGTTTCTAAATTCACTAATCACTTGCCAGAGAGCATGTAAAACAAACAACGATTGCTCAGACGGTATTGTTTGCAGGACATGCCATTATTTTCCAGAGGAGAATGAGAGAATTTGTCTCGCTCGTTAAATGGATATTTTCGAATGTCGTGTGTATGTCATTTAATAATAAAGCAATTTTGCAATTGCTTAAGCTGTATGTTGCACAAATTGCACCGTCAAATGTTTGTACTGTAAACATGTCTTAAGTATCGTATGTTGTTGTGTCGTCTTTAATTTGTTTTCATGTTATATATGTATTATGGTCAGTGTATGTGTTCCACGTTATGTATTATCAATGTATGGTGTAGATTGTAGTACGATGAATGCTATATATGTATTATCAGTGTTGCTTTTGAAAGGATAACCCCTACCTTAGAATCGTACCATGTAGTACTTTACGTGGCTATTTAACTCAGCCTAAGACCCGCCTAAACTATCACTTTTTTATCAGTTACCTACTTAAATTATGTGTTGTCCCCAAAATTAAGCCCCCCCCACCCCTGTATATTAAAACCTCATGTTGGACCTTTTAAAGGTACGTCTGTCTAACTATATTAACTTATGGTTTGTACAAAATTTTTATATAGTTTACTCATGATGTATTACTCTCGAACGGTTGACTAATTCTAGGAGTTTTGGCCAAAATAATATCTAATATACTGTATTAATTTTAGGTTTAATTGTGATTGTGCTTTATGCTAGATTCCAATTGATAAGTCCTTATTCATATTCACTTTGTAGCACAGTTAAAATTTAAATAAAGGCATATAGTGTTGTTTTCTTTAAAAGTCATCTTATATTTCGTAAAAAAGATTACAAATTAAGTTTCGCTAATAAAAAATCAATTGCCCAGTAATTACATTCTCTAATTCCAGATTACATAAAGAAGGTTCAAGAGATTCAACTTTATTATTTATAAGGTGTTGAATTTAATTAGATGATTTAAATTGGTAGTCTTTCAAAAATAAGTGTATGACATGAAAGAAGAATAAACCCAGAAAGACAATTGTAACGACCCGACCGGTCGTTATGAGTATTTGCACTTTGCTCGGTTGTTTGAGGACAGGAGTAGCTCCGTATGATGTATTATGACTTATGTGAATCGCTGGTTTTGGTTTTCAGGTTATTCGGAATTGATTTTGAAGAATGATTCTCAACTTGAAGCTTGTAATTTGAAAAGCCTGACCAAGTTTGAATTTTTAGTATTTGACCTCGGATTGGATTTCTGATGGTCCTGCTAGCTTTGTCGGGTGATTTTCAACTTAGGAGCGCATCCGAATTGTGATTTGGAGGTGCGTAGTGGAATTTGGCTTGAAATGGAGAATGTTAGAATTTTGGGATGTTTGACCGGTAGTGGACTTTTTGATATTGGGGTCGGATTCCGATTCCGAAAGTTGGAGCAGGTCTGTAATGTCAAATGTGACATGTGTGCCAAATTTGAGGTCAATCGGATGTGATTTGATAGGTTTCGACATCGGTTGTGGAAGTTGAAGTTTCAAAGTTCAATGATTTCAAATTGAGGTGTAATTCGTCGTTTGAATGTTGTTATGTGTGTTTTGAGGCCTCGAGTAGGTCCGTGTGATGTTATGTGACTTGTTAGTATGTTTGGATGTGGTCCCGAGGGGCTCGGGTGAGTTTCGGGCGAGGTTCGGAGCATTTTGAAGATTTTGGCCAAGGCTGGTGGTTGTTGGTTCTGGTGTGACCGCACCTGCGGCTGGTTTGCGCAGGTGCGATGGACGCAGAAGTGACCAAGGTCGCAGGAGTGGAAATATTACTGGGAGCAGGGGGCCCGCAGAAGCGGAGATATGCTTTGCATCCGCGAAGGCGCAGATGCGATAGGTTGAGCGCAAAAGCGATATTTGGGTGCGCACCTGCGAGTGCGCAGATGCTGCTAAAGTGCCCGCAAATCCGAAATTGCTGGGAAGAGTTATAAAATCGAGGGTTTTGTTCTTTCTTCATATTTTGAGATGTGGGACTTGGATTGAGGCGAATTTTGGAGCAGATTTCATCACAAGGATTGGGGTAAGTGTTCTCTACTCAGTCTTGGTTATATTTCATGAATCTATCTTCAATTTTAGCTTTTGGTTGATGAATTGAAAGAGGAAAATTGGGTCTTTTGGCCTAAAGTTTCATAATATGAATTTTTGAGTTTTGAACACTGATTTGGAGTCAGATTTGAGTGAAACAAGTATGGTTGGACTCGTAATTGAATGGTTTGTCGGATTGCGTGAGTTTTGTCGAGTTTCGAGGCGTGGGCCCTGGTGTGATTCTTGGCCAGAATTGGGGTTAAACTTAGGATTCGGTCCTTATCATTTTTAATTGATTCCTTGGGACTTATCTGATGTATCTCAGTTGTTTTGGCTAGTTTTGAGCCGCTTGGAGGCCGCTATGCGCGTGATGGCTTTCTTAGAGCATCGCTTGGCTTGCTCGGTGTCGGAATTGGCTTGTTTCAGATAAGTAACTCTTTTAAACTTAGTGTTGAGGGTATGAAACCCTGAATTACGTGCTATGTGATTGATGTTGAGGTAACGCACATGCTAGGTGACGGGCGTGCACCCAGTGAGATGTGACTCTATTATTTCCGGGGCACTGAATAGTGGCCCTATTTTATTGATATTTGTGTTTTCACCATGTGATAAAATAAATGAGCTTTACATCATGCTAGATATCATGGTTAGGCTTTATGCTAATATTGTTAGGACCCATAGTGGTCGTTTCTTGCTGTCATCTCATTGAATTCATTGATATTTCGTACTCAGTCACATTCATGAGTTCATATCATATCTAAGTCTCAGTTGTTACTTATCGATACATGATGTCATTGTTCCGGGTCAGTTTTCATGACATTGTGAGCCCGTGGGTTAGATTGATGACTGAGTGAGGCCGAGAGCCTGATTATGAGTGATAATTATGGGATCGAGGTGCACGCCGCAACATGTTTTATTGATTATTGAGTAAGGCCGAGGGCCTGATTGATTTATGCCATGATTGGCGTGTTATAGCGCTTGGGCCGTCGGAGTCCCTCCGGAGTCTGCACACCCACAGTGGGCGCGGCTGATTATATTCAGGGATGGATCTTCCCTTGGTATGGAGATGGATCTTCTCCATGAGGCTAGATTGGCATGTTTCCTCGGTACTGGGTGACTTATAGTCAGTGATGTATATATTCCGGGATGGATCTTCCCTGGGCAGTATGGGCCATATACAGTACCGAGTGGTTGGTTATGTTGAGTGGAAGGTGTAATACAGTGAGGTTGAGTACTCAGAGCGTGTGTGTACATGATTCATCTCTGAGGTACATGACATTGGCATGCATATATAACATACATGCATGGAGACATTTTCCTCATTCTAAACGGTATCACGTCATTCATGACATTTTACACACATTGACATGTTGTCATAAGAGGTATCTCACACTTGCTATCTGGAAAGAAATGAAACATCTTAATTATAGTGAAAAAGAGTTTTGGAAAAGAAAATACAGTTTTTCAAACTATCTCATATTTCATGACGTTTTCAGTAAAGAATTTGGGTTTTCACTAATACTCTTGAAGGGCAGAACTATTTTGGGAAAATTGTGAAAAACTTGAACACTTTATCTCCGAGTTACTTCCTTACTTTTATGCTTTACATTGTTATGAACTTCTATTGGATATTGGTGTTGGACCCGACCTATGTTCCTGCTCGTTACTGCTTTCAACCTAAGTTTAGGTTTGTTACTTTTTGAGTACATGGGGTCGTTACTCATTCTGCACTTCATGCACATTGCGTGCAGATACTAGATGTCGATGTTGTTGCGTTCGATGGTTGCTGGATTTGAAGGTGTACCTGCATCCCTGATGTAGCTTCCTCTTATTTATGGTAGCCTTAGCTTTATAAAACTCTGTTATGTACTTTTCAAACAGAAGATGTATTTTCTTCATATTGGCTTGTAAACTTTACAAATTATAAGCTCATGATTCTAATTAAACCCCCCCAAACTATATTCCCTTGTATATTAAAAGCTCATGTTGGACTTTTAAAGGTACGTCATCTAACTATATTAACTTATGGTTTGTACACAGTTTTTATATAGTTTACTCATGATGTATTACTCTCGAACGATTGACGAATTATAGGAGTTTTGGCCAAAGTAGTATCTAATGTACTGTGTTAATTTTAGGTTTAATTGTGATTGTGCTTTATTGTAGATTCCAATTGATAAGTCCTTATTCATATTTACTTTGTAGCACCGTTAAAATTTAATAAAGGCATATAGTGTTGTATTTCTTAAAAGTCATCTTATATTACGTAAAAAAGATTACAAATAAAATTTCGCAAATGAAAAATCAATTGCCCAACAATTACATTCTCTAATTCCATATTACATAAACAAGGTTCAAGAGATTCAGCTTTATTCTTTACAAGGTGTTGAGTTTAATTAGAAGATTTAAATTGGCATTCTTTCAACAATATATGTAAGAAATGAAAGAAGACTAAACCAAGAAAGAGAATAAATAATTTTAGAGGAAACAAGAGAGGGAGAAATTTTTCCAGAGAAACCCATATGGAGAACTCAAGAAAAAAGGATAACAATAAAGAAGAAGGTGAAAAACAAAGAAGAAAGGTGAAAATGAGGAAGAAATATGGATATAACTGAATAAGGAAAATATCTATTTAAAAAAAATTAAAAGAGGTTTAGGCTAATTAACCATTATTTTTCTATTATGTGGGAAATTTTGATGGCTTTTTTGCTAGCTACCACACGCTCCCAAGCGAGTATCTACACATGTTATGCCAGGTCAGCGACAAGGAGTTTTTAATACGAGCGACATTATAGTTCAGGGAGGTTTTGGGGACATCGAATAGTTTAAATAGGAAACTGATAAAAAAGTGATAGTTTAAAGGGATTTTAGGGTATTAACTCAAATGTATTTTATGTAGGTCACAAATATAATGACTTTACGAACGTCCTATTTTTGTTTTTTTAGTGGTGACATAGTTAACATTGAATGGCGACTAAAGTTGTTATAAAACGCAAACAATCCGGCGGAAAAAAAATAGATTTTAGGTAGATCGCCAATGAATAATTACTTTAATGGTGACCCATTCGAATTTTGTGGCGATTATAGTTATTACTAAATATAACCACTTATCGACTAAAGTCAGTATAAAGTTAAGGCTATTGTAGCCAAGAAATTAAAGTTGCTTTTGAAAGGATAAATTCTTTTGTGGCGAAATATAGTCCTCACCAAAAGCCTAAATGACCTACCATGCCGACTTCCGGTGGCGACGTTGTTTACCTTTAGTGGCGATTGTTGTCGCCACCAACAATAATTTCTCCTTTCAAAAGCAGTTCTC